ACAGGAGTGTTCTTTTATTATATATATATTATATATATATATATATATATATATATATATATATATATATATATATATATATATATATATATATATATATATATATATATATATATATATATAGGTAAAACGAGTTGAAATTTCGGTACTAGAATCTAGGAACATAAATATAGTTCGCGCATAACAAAAGCAATTAGAATTATGCCAACGATTTATTGACAGCAAACCATACTCTTGATACGTATTTCAAAATTTTGCATAATATGCAGAAAACCAGTCATTAGATTAATGGGATATTGTGGAAATTAATCATCATAAAGATTCTGGAAATTTGCTCAATGAACGAATCAAATTAAACAATTCATTATGATGAATTTTTATTACCTGAAAAGGTTTAACAATGGTCAAACCTTCTCAGGTAACAAGAATTAGATTGCAGAATGGAATATCTTGAGGTAAAACTCAAATTCATAGAATCTCAAATGCCCTGGATATTACATCGATTTTTCAAATTTGTTGTTATTTTTCTGTTAGCATCTGAAGAAGTCGTTTGTAACGACGATATATAAAAAAAATTCAAATGAATACTCATTATTATTATTATTATTATTATATCATTCCTTATGTTCTGTGATTTTTATAACATTCTATGAACCAGGGGAATTTCATATTTTTGTACTTGTTCGTTCAAACTTTATGTGCTGTGTATTGTTTTTCAAGAATGTTGAACTTTTTATTTTCAGACTGGAGCTCTAGAGTCACAATTAAGGATTAAGCAAAACCTGAGTCTTTCTTTGAGTGAACAGAATTTAGTTGATTGTAATAAGGCAGATGACGGTTGTCATGGTGGATGGCCTAGTCATGCACTCGACTATATCAAACAAAACGGTATAGAAATTGAGGAAGATTATCCATATGAAGAACATAATGGTGTTTGTAGGAGTGATTCGTCCAAAGTTAAAGCGAAGGTCTCAGGATACGAAACAATTCCAGAAGGCGATGAAGATGCTCTCACACAGGCAGTTGCAGAGAAGGGCCCAGTATCCATTTGCATTTACGCTTCCGACAATTTTGATTTATATGAATCTGGGATTTTGATAGATCCCGAATGTCCTCCAGGTGACTTAAATCATGCTATTTTGGTAGTGGGATATGGAAGAGAGAATGGCATAGATTATTATATCGGTAAAAATTCGTGGGGACCTAGCTATGGAGAATCAGGTTATTTGAAAATGGCGAGGAATTTTAACAATTTGTGTGGCGTGGCCTCTGTTGCAGTCATGCCTGTTTTGTGAATATAATTATGAAGTTATGAAATAAATTTTTGATGATGTTCAGATTTTTTTTCACTGTGATACAATAGAAAATAGAAATAACTGAAAATGGGAAGATTTCAATTTCGGTCATACCGCCGCTCATTCAATATTACGGATTTCGTTCTTCAAATGAATTTTTCTTTGGTGAGAGTCTTGGGACAGAAGACACAAGAAAAAGCACAGACTCTCTCGGCACGAAGCTGTGAGAATAAACTGAAACACTCCTCATCTTTTTCTTTTCAGTACAACAACAAAATTTTGTGTTTTGTCAAGAAATTTTGATAAATGCAGACTGAATTGTAAAAAGTGAAGAGATCTGATATTGTACCTCATTACGATGAAGAAGAATTCATCAACACATATTATTAGTTAATTTGAACTCATTTATTAGTTAAGAAACCTCTGAACTGTACTCAGTTTTCTTGTTATTTCAAAAACAAATTGAAGCACAATATGGTTAGAATGTTCGACAATCTTGTCTTCCGGAAAACATTTCGAGTATTTATTCGAAAAGGCTATTTCAAATAATTCAGAAATTAAGCAAATAATGATTACATAATGATAACTTTTCTTATAATGATTTGATATTTGTTTCAGGTATAGTCATCTCTCTCAAAAAGAACATGAATATCTTGCATATATATGAGTAAATTTATGTATTCCGATTTCTTTTTTCATGTCTGATAATTTCAATAGTCAAGGGTCAATTTTCTGTTGAAATTGTGAAATTGAAGAAGTTAAGATCATAAGTAGGATCATGCTGAATAATAACTAAATGAATGAAATGAAATATAACAAAGACCGAATCAAAAATAAGAATAAAACAAAATGAATGGAAAAGAAGTAGTGACAAAGAACTGCATCTAGTTCAATCAATTCTAATCAATCTTACTTCTTCACATAACTGTTAACGGTAATTGTAATGGAGCCAAAGTGAATGTCACATCCATTAAAAACTTTTCTGAATGTAGACCCCATAAACCCAATAGGGGATGGTATTCTCTAACATTATTCCCTTGAAGGATAATGGAGACATCACATCGTACACGTTCACATATCTAGCTCTACTATAACATTCTCTTGATTAATTAAAATTTTTCGAATGAATGTTCTAGTGTTCGTTTTCTTAAATATTTCATTCAGTGTCATGAGCACAAAAAATTTCATTTCTTTTATATATATATATATATATATATATATATATATATATATATATATATATATTTTTTGAAATTGATTTATTGCCTGTTTAAGATATTTCATTTCGAAAGTTTTTAGTGACAACAGGCTTTTTTTTTGATATGAAAAAGTTTATTTTTGTTGACGTTTCGTTGTTATATTACAACTTCGTCAAAACTAATGAATAATTGAATTTATGAACTGATAAAAAAATCAAAATCATGAATATCAAAAAAAGCCTCTTATTGCTAAAAACTTTCGAAATATATATATATATATATATATATATATATATATATATATATATATATATATATATATATATATATATATATGTATATAATTCGTTTAGTTTTCTTGTGCTTTGCTCAATAACATAAGTGTGAAGGTTTCTTGGGAATGAGCACAGTTTGAACTTGATGGAGTAATTATTTATTCGACATATGTTTCGGCTCTAGGCCTTTTTCAAGAATATTATAGGTTTATTGTTGGTTGGAAATTGACTTCAATTTCACAAATCTTTCGTAAAACTGAATAGTGCGAGAATCTCGCACTAGAGGTTGACCTGTGATTGGCACAGAGGTCAACCTCTGTGCCAATCCATGAATGAAAGGCAACGAAACAAACCGATGCTCTCCTGAGGGATATCATCGTTCACAGTGCTGTTATCAACAGACCTGGAAGAACAGCTCTTTGAAGAGTGCTGGACACATTTCGCCAGAAAAGATCTCGTGTATCCATTTTCTAAGAATATGTTAAAGAGCCTGATTTCAGCAGATCTAAGAAATTGAGGTTGACATATATATCTAACCCTATATAATATCCGTTTAACCAAGTTAATTTTTATAGTCGAAGTATAATCAGATTCTGCGTGAATATATCTTCCCCATGAAGTCTTTTTTTGGAACCAATCCAGTTTGATAATAATTTTCAACGTTCTCATTACCTTTGCGTCTAAAAAGGGATTGTGTCTAAAACGATTTTGAATAATCAAAAATTCAATTCTCAAATCAAAAAAAACAATTCTCTCCATTGAATCTACCTATATGAAAATAACCTTCTTGGAGATGTGATATATCAAGAAGACTCCTAATAAAATCAACAAAAGAACTGATATTGAGAGCCTCAGTTGTGTTTATAGCAACTTGTTACGTTGGATGAGCCTGGCCAAATTTGCAATGGCTGGGACCATCGGTCGTGTTCTGATTGTTTTCTGTGTCGATACAGATTGTACGTTGATGTTTCATACTATACGTTCTTTGATTTAACGTCGATTTATGAGTTTGGTTATATATATTTTTCGTTGTTGAGCACTGTCGCCTCAATATTACAAATAACAGATGACTTTTGTGTCGTTTTAGTTGGTTTATTGACTTATGTCAGATGTTTTTCTACGAATTGTAACTAATTAATTAACATCTTTTCTATATATTTAGTATGATTGAGATAACAAAGATATTATAAAACATTTGATGAAGGACAAACTGAGAAAAGAACAAAGAGTAAACGAACACAAAAAAATAACCTAGTACAATCAAAATATGTTCGCATGTAATATTTAATTAAGATTATTATGAGATTACTTTGATATATTTTATCTAATCGAGAACTTGCTGAAAGAAGTTTTGGACAATAAATCAATCATTATATCAGATATTTTGGATTTGAAATCTGAAACACATGAAATACTTTCGGATTACAATGATCCAAAAATTCTGATCCACAAATCATTCCATAAATTGACATATGGATGAGTTGATTTTGGTACTTTGGACAAAATTATGAAATTCTCACTAACATTCGACTCTATGCTAAATGATGTGACGTCAATATTTCTCACGACTGCTTCAGTGTTTATTCTTCTGAATACTTGAAATTGCAGAATATGAAAGAAATTGAACAACAATATTTCATAGAATACAAATGAGTGCATTTTACTACGTGATGGTCCAACTAGAATAGTGTTACTAGTTATTTAATCATTCGAATATTCAAATATATTAGTATGAATTTCTAGTACTTGATGTAAATACTTTTCAAATACTGAAAGAGTACCTATCAAAAATTACTCCAATGTTCCTCGAAAGGCACTGAACTGATTTTATAGTCTTGAAAGTTGATCACTCAACTGATGAAATTATTGTTTTTTTACAACATTTGTGGAGAAATCTTCTTGACAGTTTCGTTCGAATTATTTCGACATTTGGTATAGAAATTTCAGAGTAGACTATATATATACTTTCGGAAAATATTCTAAATCTTTGTTCATATCATTTGCATGAAAATAAAACGAATGATGATGAACTCCTGCTCACTCATTCTTCCTTGAAAGTTTTTCATCATATTCTTGATGTTTCTGTACTACTAGCTTGTCGCATATATATATATATATATATATATATATATATATATATATATATATATATATATATATATATATATATATATATTTGGTGATTTTGTCAATACTTATTTCTCCAGTGTTTTCAGTTTCATCGATTGCCGGTCTTCATGGCTTCATAGCCGGGAGAACACCCGACTATGGTGAGGTAGGATTCGGGTTCGAGCCCCGATGAAGTCATGGGGATGTATGTGAATCATGTATGTGTTAGTCTATGATTTAAGTAGCTTAATGATGATGAAAATTTTCATGTAATGTATATTAATTACAAGTCTATTAGCCGTTCGGAACCGGCATTAAACTGTATGTACATTGAATTGAAAAATAATTGTTGAATCACGTAGTTTGCACGTCTGCACGTAGAATTTGGAAAAGGTGAATCTCATCGAAACGTACGTCATGCAGTTTTCTTTTCAATATATGTGTAAATCTTGGTTAAACAATTGTTTTATTATGTTTATCGATTTACATCAAGTATCGGTCTCATCAATCATTTATTGAAAAATATATTCAACCGACATTAAATTGAAAAAAAAATTATTTCTATATTTTGAATCTTTGGAAGAGTATTTGTGAGCAGATGAATGAAGCAGCTCGTTAATTGTAGCATTCAGAAGAATGTACAACAATAATTCCAGAACTTTCAATCAATCCTGAGGTAATCTCGTAACTAGGAGTAGAGAAATAATTTCAATAATCATTAATATTATAATAAAATAAAGTTATAATTTTTACAATTATTAATTTGATATGAGTCTCTGTTCTATGATTTGCTTTGCTTGACAATGTATTTGATTCGATTTGGGAAGGTATAATTATCAATATTCATAAAGTTGACTGAATGTTCGCTGATTTCGTGGTCAAAAATTGTTTAATATATTGAATAAAAAACTCGGCTGTTTCCACAAAATTGAAAAAAAAAAGTTGACTATTTTTTCGAGGTGTTTTCACTTTTTCAAAAGTTAAACCGCTTAATTTTTACAACAGTTTAACTTTTGAAAATGAGGTAACACCTCGAAACATATGTCAACTATTCATTATAAATTTCGTGAATCCAAGCCAAGTGTATTCATTCAAACTATCATCAATGGTAACATTCAAGATTATAAGTTATTTTCAGAACTTTTGTGAATATAATTTCAAGTGTCTATGAAAAGTCTTCATTATATCAGTAGAACTATTATAGTAATCGACATTATCTGTGAATACCTCATAATTTCCCAGAATAAAATGAAAGAAGAGATGGAAGTGATATGTTTTCCAAATTCCCCCAAAAAACAATAGTTAATTGATATAATCTTGGGTTTTTTGTAGAGAATCATGTACAAGATTTCGATTTATGATATGTGATTAAATAATTGTGTTTCGAGATATCGTTTCATTATAAATACCAAATGATTTCAAAAATTTTCAGTGATTCCTTAATAACGATGAAAGTGTTAGCAATTATATTATTATCCTTCATTTGTACTGTTCTGTGTATCCAAGAACAGGAACTGCTTGAAGAATGGAACAACTTTCAGGTAACACATTTTCAAATTGGAATTCTTCTTTAAATATATAGATTTAATTCATTTCAGGTTAGATATGGTAAGACTTACAGGTCGCCATTAGAAGCAAGAAAACGTTTGGCTATTTTCAATGATAATTTGGAGGAAATCCGTGCACACAATGCTCTTTTCGATGAAGGTAAAACCACCTACAGAAAAGGTATCAATAAATTAGCTGACCTGACACACGAAGAGATTAAACAACATTACAAGAGCGGTCTACTGAATAAACCCCTTACAAATTCTGGAAGTATATTCAAGAAGTCTAACTCTGTTCAACTTCCCGAATTTGTAGATTGGAGAGAGAAAGGAGCAGTAAGTGAAGTCAAAAATCAAGGAGACTGTGGAGCATGTTGGGCATTCAGTGCTGTAAGTATCGATGTCAATTTCTTGATTTCAATGCCTGATATTATTTATATATTATATAATTTATATTCTTACCTCAATATATGAATTATTATAATTAATACTGTCTGACATAATGATGAAATTTTAAATATACACCTGAATAGTGAAAGAATATGAAGGAGAGTTATAACGAATACAACAGTACTTATTGATGGTTCTAATTCAAGAAATTAACCAAACAACTGAAACAATAATTCAAAATAGGTTTATCATAAAAAAAACTAGTATATACTTGTATATATAAATAAGTGTGAGGAAGGTCTTCTAACTACATGATGTTAATTCATTGCATATATAGATATGTAAAAATAATTACGACACAGAATCAAAACCAAAACGAAGGAGAATATCGATGTATCATCAGACATGTGGAGGAAAAGAAGCCTTACTGATATTTTGAATCGCAAACCGACAAACCCTCCTTTTTATCATTGTTGCACAAAGAATTCCGAACGCCAAAACGAGAGTTTTGCAATAGGCTTATTTTTTTGATTCGCTCCATTATTCGAATACAAAAACACTTATACAATTATTTAATGAGCTTTTGAAGAGCAAATTAGATTTTGGTTGTATGATTTGGCTTCTCATTCACAACAAAGATTTCTCAAATATCTAATTTGGAGGGAAGATCACGTTTTTGCGACCAGAGGATGTAGCCAAACTGATCGGAACTAAATCTGTAGCTAAATCACTTGAAGTTAGCGGGAACTTGTTTTCTCTAAAATTTCTGTATAATCTCTTACATGCTTATATAGACTGTAGTACCCTTATTGCCTGTATTGATTTTCATGTTCCTAGACAATGGTCACTTGCAAATCAATGTTTATCATTGGGTACTCCGAAAACGAATTCTCTGGTACAATTACCACTAGGTATTCGCTGACAATATGCCACATCAACAGTGACTCAATTGCTTTCATCAGTCGGGTTTACTTGGAATCTTCTCATGTATAGGGGATTTTGAAGTATAGCTTTATTCTCATTGTTTATTATTAATTATGATTTATTCTTTTTTTGTTAATAATTTTTCAAACTTCTGCAACGTTTTTATCTCATCAGGTGTTTATACTGCATATATGTATATATTTTAGAATATTTCCTATAACAGAGTGTTTTTACCGTTAGAAAATACAGACCTATATAATAGTGTTGGCGTTTCACATGATGTAAATCCACTATAATTGAAAATAAATTTAAATTCGAACACTTGAACTTATAAATTACACTTTATCGGCTCATAGCATGACGCGTTTCGTCGCTACAAAAGACTTCTTCAGATGCTAACAGAATGATAAAAACAAATTTGTGAAAACGTGAATATATTCAAGTTATAATTGAAGTAAAAAAAATAAATTCGAATATCGAAGTACAATTGTCGATAAAGTTGTTGTTTCTGTCATCTATGAACTTTTGTGTCTGAGGTATTTATGTTGTGCTAACATTTAAAATCACGTTTGTGAGCATTGTTTTTGTATTCATTTTGTTTTAGCGGTCATATGACATATATCAGTTTGATAAAAGTTAAAATAATAATTATTATTGAAATTATTGTTTAATAATAATTATTTGAAAACATTGAAATAATATACATATATATATATATATATATATATAAAACATATATATATATATATATATATATATATATATATATATATATATATATATATATATATATATATATATATATATATATATTTATATATAACGAATGAAAATTTTTCTAGCGGTGAAAAGTACAAATGACAAAAACACAATTTTCGGTATAGCCCGCAACACAATTGGAAGCAGCGGTTGACAAGTGTTTGGAGCTTATTGACTCTCCTAAGAACGGCGAAGCCAAGTTCACGGTGAACGAACATGGAGATGGAATCAGCAGTAAAAGAACACTCCTGTAAAGGAAGTCTCCACTGCTGGGCTTCCACGTGACTTCCACGGAGGCTTCCTTCACAGGAGTGTTCTCTTATTGCTATATATATATATATATATATATATATATATATATATATATATATATATATATATATATATATATATATATATATATATATATATATATATATAGGTAAAAAAAGTTGAAATTTCGGTAGATTCTAGGAACATAAATATAGTTTCACGCATAACAAAAGCAATTCGAATTATGCCAACCATTTATTGACAGCAAACTATACTCTTGATACTCTTTTATACTATACTTTATGATTAATCATCATAAAGATTCTGGAAATTTGCTCAATGAACCAATTTAATTAAACAATTCATTATGATGAATTTTTATTACCTGAAAAGATTTATCAATGGTTAATACTTTTCATGTAACAAAACTTAATTTGCAGAATGGAATATCTTGAGGTAAAACTCAAATTCACAAGAATCTCAAATGCCTTGGATATTATATCGATGTTTTCAAATTTGATGTTAAAAACTGTTAGCATCTGAAGAAGTCGTTTTTAACGACGATATATAAGAAAATTCAAATGAATACTCATTATGATTATTATTATATCATTCCTTATGTTCTGTGTTTCTTATAACATTCAATGAACCAGGGGGATTTCATATTTTTGTACCCGTTCGTTCAAAATTTGTGTGCTGTGTATTGTTTTTCAAGAATGTTGAACTTTTTATTTTCAGACTGGAGCTCTAGAGTCACAATTAAGGATTAAGCAAAACCTGAGTCTTTCTTTGAGTGAACAGAATTTAGTTGATTGTAATAAGGCAGATGACGGTTGTCATGGTGGATGGCCTAGTCATGCACTCGACTATATCAAACAAAACGGTATAGAAATTGAGGAAGATTATCCATATGAAGAACATAATGGTGTTTGTAGGAGTGATTCGTCCAAAGTTAAAGCGAAGGTCTCAGGATACGAAACAATTCCAGAAGGCGATGAAGATGCTCTCACACAGGCAGTTGCAGAGAAGGGCCCAGTATCCATTTGCATTTACGCTTCCGACAATTTTGATTTATATGAATCTGGGATTTTGATAGATCCCGAATGTCCTCCAGGTGACTTAAATCATGCTATTTTGGTAGTGGGATATGGAAGAGAGAATGGCATAGATTATTATATCGGTAAAAATTCGTGGGGACCTAGCTATGGAGAATCAGGTTATTTGAAAATGGCGAGGAATTTTAACAATTTGTGTGGCGTGGCCTCTGTTGCAGTCATACCTGTTTTGTGAATATAATTATGAAGTTATGAAATAAATTTTTGATGA